TGAGGTTCCCATTGTCCCTGGTTTTCCCTGTTGCCCTGAGGTTCCCCGTGTCCCTGGCTCATTCCCTGCCCCGCTCACCTCGTTCCTGGAGCGCAGCACGATGAGGTCGCTGACTTTGCCGAAGGGCTGCACCAGTTTTTTGATGTCCTGATCCGAAAAGCCGTCGTCGGGCAGGTCTGAGATCTGCAGGACGGTCCCACAGCTCAGCAGGTCCTCCCTCAGCAGCTACACACGGGACATGGAAGGAAAACAAACACTTCCCAAGTCAGGGATTTTGCCACAGTCTTGTTCTGCCTCAATCACTATCCCTGGGAGTGTCCAAGGCCAGGTTGGACGGGGCTTGGAGCAGCCTGGGATAGCGGGAGGTGTCCCTACACGTGGCAGGGGGTAGGACTGGATGGGCTTTAAGGTCTCTCCCAACCCAACCCATTCCATGATTCCATGGTCCCCACCCTTCCCTGCAGCCAGCAGACCTCAGTGTCACATGGAATGGGTCACCCTGCCAGTGACCCCCTGAAGGGAAACACCAACCAAGTCCTCAAAAAGCAGAGAGAACCCGCAGGAACTCACCCTGTTGTAAGAAGCAGACTGAGGTTTGCTGCTCCCTGCGGATTCATCTTCCTCCTCCTCTTCCCCCTCCTTGTTTTGGGCTGATTCCTCCGTTTTGGGCGAGGCAGAACTCGGCCCAGGCACAGCAGACCCATCCTTCTTGGGAGCCTTTGCAGCAGCACTTGTCTTCAGTGGCTTCTTCACACTCCCAGACACCTTCCCCGGGAGTCCATGAGAGGATGAGGATCTTCCCGATCCCAAGGATCCCTGCACAGCTGCCTGAAGTGATTTATGTTTCTTGAACTCTGCCAGGAACTCGGGCCCCAGGGTTTTCATGACGGCCTCGAGTGCTGCCTTTCTGTCTGTGAGGGAGGGGAAACCAGGGGGGTTGGATTTACCCTCAAATACAATTTACAGATATTTCTGTTCTTTCCTACAGTTTCAGCTTCACCACTCGCTCCTGAGCCAACCCTGAGACTGCCTGAGCTTAGAGAGCCTTCACAGTAAATGTTAATAAACCTCAGGATGTGACACTCCAAAACAACATCTGCAAAAATCCCAAGGGCTGGACAAAAGAAAATGCAAAATATCATTTAATTTTCTACGTCAGGGAATGGAAAAGAGGGATTTTTGAAGCCTCTGCTCCTCTCTCACACTGAGGCCCAGCAGTACTTACTATCTTGGGTGCCTTCTGCTAAATTCTGCCTCCTTCTCTTGCTCTCTGTTGGTTTTAATTATTCTTTAACGAGCTGCTACAACAATAATTTCCTGTCTGCTGGCTTTCTGTGGAGAATTCACAGTTTGGTTATTCGTTGCTTCTCCCCCTCCTCCATTTCCACGGTTTGTATTTTCACCCTCGATAAAGGGTGGGGACACCTTGGAATCTGCCTGTCCCTTCGCAACTCCCCACCTGGACCTCTATCCCACAGAACCTCTGGAAGCTCTGGGAGCACATGAAGCAGGCAGCCCAGATTGGGATTTCCCAGGGAAAGCTCTGGAAAGCAGCCGGGCGTTCCCGAGACGCCAGGAGATCCCGAAACGCCAGGAGATCCCGCTCTGGCAGCGCATCCCCCCGTCCGTACCTTCGGAGCGGCTGGAGCGGCGCGAGGAGCGCTCGGAGCTGGAGGAGCGGTGGGAGCGGGAGCCGGAGCTGGAGCTGGGCCTCAGGGAGCTCCGGGAGCGCTGGGGGGAGCGGGATCGGTGCCGGGGGCTGGGTCGCCGCGGGTACCGGGGGGGGCTGCGGCTGCGGGGCCGTCGGAAGCGCGGGGGGCTCCGGGAGCGGGAGCGGAAGCGGCGCAGGGGGTACCCGGAGCCCCCCCGGCCGGTAACGGCGCCGGCTGGGGCTGGAGGAGCTGGAGCGGTGCTTCGGGGTCTGGTTCTCCTTCCTGTCCCCGGCATTCCTGTGGGAATGAGGGAACACCGAGAGATTGGGAGAGGAGGGGAAGAGGAGTTCACTGGGAGAGCTGGGGGGTTCCCCTGGAGGAGAGAAGGATCCAGGGAGAGCTGAGAGCCCCTTGCAGGGCCTGAAGGGGCTCCAGGAGAGCTGGAGAGGGACTGGGGACAAGGCAGGGAGGGACAGCACACAGGGAATGGCTTCAAACTGGAAAAGTGAAGATTTAAATAGGATATTGGGAAGGAATTCCTGCTGTGAGGGTGGTGAGGCCCTGGCACAGGTTGGGCAGAGAAGCTGTGGCTGCCCCTGGATCCCTGGAAGTGTCCAAGGCCAGGCAGGAGCCACCTGGGCTGGTGGAAGGAGTCCCTGCCCATGGCAGGGGGTGGCACTGGATGGGCTTTAAGGCCCCTTTCAACCCAAACCATTCCATGATTCTGTGATTATTCTCCTCATGGAAGTTTCAGAAGTTTATTTGCTTTTTTTCTCCTGGTTTGTAACAGAGAGAAAAGCAAAGCAGCCTGGCCTGCACATCCAGCTTTGGAACTCAGCTTCCCAGTAAGGATGTCCAACTAATTAATGCAAAATCTCAGGAAAATCCAAGGACAATTCCAGCGCTATCCCCCCTATTTGTATACGAGGCAAAACACGTTCAAATGCTGAAGCAGTAAAACAACCCAACTCTGCTGAGCTTCAAAGGGAATTAATGCACAGGGTGTGTTTTTAAAAAGAATTCATCACAGACAGTAAAGGCCAGAGATGGGAATTCGTGAATTCTAGGTTTTTTTCAGCCTGTGATGATGTCATTCCCCAAGGGATCTCCACAGGCCAGGCTGCAAACGGGATTAACTGGACCAAGACTAGTGGAATTTCCTAGTGGAATGAGATGGGCTTTATGGTCCCTCCATCAAACTTAGGAGAAACCCCCCAAAACCACCCCCCTAATTCTATACCAGAACTACGACCCCATGAGAGAGGCTGCAGGGGGCAAACCAGGGAAAAGAGCTGCCTTAAATAACTGGGAGAACTGGGAAAGCACAGGCAGTTACCTGCTGGAGGAGTGAGCCTCGGGGTTCCATTCCGGGTACCTGCCAGGGGGAACACAAGTGTCAATGCAACAGCCAAATTTCCCACCTGCAGCACAAACCCCATTTTTTTACCCTAAAAACAGGCTGCCCCAGCCCTGGGATTGTGCCAGCTTGGAGCCCTGGGCTGGGGGAAGGTGTCCCTGCCCATGGCACTGGGTGGGATTTATTGTCCCTCCCCTCCCAAGCCATTCCCAGTGGATCCCAAGTAGATCCCTTACTGCTGCTGGGATTTACTGTCCCTCCCTTCCCAAGCCATTCCCAGTGGATCCCAAGCAGATCCCTT